CCCCAAAACCCCAAAACCCCAAAACCCCAAAACCCCAAAATAGTAATGACCTATTGAAACTAAATCTTAACCACTAAATATAGCCTTGATTAAGCCGATATAAGTAGTAGGAAAGTCGGCCAATAAGAGCGGTATCTTTCCATCTTCTTTAGACTGGTAATACAAGTTTTGACATCCAATGCATATCTTATCCTTCTCTTTTACAGCGATATTAGGTTCTTCATAACTAGCTTGAATATGCTTCTTGTTCAAGTTCTTGAAAATCTGTCCTCTTTGTGGAGTCTCTTCTGATTCTTCGTCTAAACTATTAAGTATATGAAATACCGTCTATAAGTTCGAAGAAAGGCCTGGCCTCCATTCTTGACAATACTCTTTCAACACAGTAGCTTCGGAGGAGCTGTTTATCGCTATATCGAATAGTTTTATCACTAAGTGCAGTCAGTTCATTGAAGAAGATAGCAATTATGCCATCAATTAAATCTAGATTTTCATCTGAACTGGACTGATTCTTTATATACAAACTTCTTAAAAAATTCACTGTCTCAGCTAGCTTGTAGATAGTGGATAACCTATTCGGAGTGATTTTAATACTTGTCTGCTCCTCATTCTTATCGTTTTTATTTTGCCTCAAAAATGTACTTCTTTTTCAGTAATACTGACTGATAAGATCTTGGACACTCAAAGGATTTTCAGCAAGGTCATCAAAGAGATCATCTACTTGATCGAATGGACAAACTCATTTGTTCTGATTGATAATGTCAGGAAATTCAAGGTTCTTTACCTTAGTTTGATGTCTAAGGTCGTTTAACTTCAAATTTTGAAGAGTGTTCATATAATAGTGCTTTTTGACAGATACTCCAATACACCTAGTGATATCTTCATCATACGTCAAACATATATCAAACATGTCATAAATTTGACTTCCTAGGACGCCCTTTAACCCTTTATTCTTCTTATCTCCAATATCTTTGACATCTACTACCATCCAAACTGGGTTCTAAAATCAAAAATCATCTCTAAATCCCTCTAAAATAAGTTTTACCTTTAATCCTCTCTGGTTTCTGTACAATATCTGATAAAATATTTTCCTCATTTGAGCTCCCCATTTGAAGTAAGAAAAGTGGACTAAAATGATCTTATCTTTGTTCACTTTGAGGAAGGTCTCTAAAGAAGCAGCATCAATAGCTGCTGGGAGTGAGACTCACTCTCACAGCTGCTCAGTTGACTTTATCAACTTCAGCAGATGGCTTGTGTCGTCACTGATCAAAAGCAGATTTAGAAGAGAAGACGTGTAATTTATATGACTGAAATTAGAATCCAAGTCCACTGTTGAAATCGATGCTAGAGAGGATAAAGCAAATGAATCCACTGATGTGGTATCTGAGCAGGAGGTCTCAATGACTGGAGAATGCAGAGAAATTATACTCAATAGCATTGCCAGTTTAAAGTGAAATAAGTAAAGATAAGCCTTCTTATCTTCAGTATAGTATTCCTTATCATTAAAGATAAATTTTACTAAATTCCTGATTGCTATCATATCAGAATTCAGTTTCTTGCTGATCAACTCAGTATCTGTCCATTTCTCAACATTTTCCTTATCTGCTAGTTCAGGGTTCTCTCAAAAGACATCAGTGATATGAGCAAATGAGAGTGGGACTGAAGAGACGCTTTGGTTTTGAGTAAGCTTTGAGATCAAATTGTTCCTATCTTTCTGATGTCTTTTGATCCTTGATATCAAATGCAAATTTTGAGTAGGCTCATTTAAAAGATTTGTTAAATTAAGATCAGATGTCAGTAAGGAAGATGCTCCTTCTAGCTCATCCATGATAGCTATATCAATTTCATTTTCTATGAATGGGCAGAAGTTAAAAGCTGCTCATCCTATTCTTAAGGGGTATGAGACCTTTCCTCCACCTTCTTTCTTCCAATGGAAGTTTGGAATCGCATAATAATATCCAGTGATTGACAAAGTTTGTCCTTCTTTAATATAATCCTGGAATGGGGCTTGAAACCAAATATTTATTCTCTCAGAACCAGAGTTGATCGGCCTGCCTCGCTTATCAATAGGGATTCCTTCTGCAATTTTTCACTCAATATAGATATCTTCAGAATCTTTGACTTTATAGGGAATTTCTCATCGATCACAAAGGATTTCCTCCTTGCCTCTAATAAACTTGTAATGGAAGTTACTTCCAGTTGGCATTGGATTGAAGAAGCCTTCCTTCTTCAAAATATTCAGTGGGTTCTTGTAAACTCTGTTGATCTCTTCCTTCTCAGGATATCAGTCACACTCAGAAACATATTTCCTGCTGAGTAGGTAGAGAGAGGAATCGTAGACAGTAAGGATTCACATCTTCTTGATTCAGGCTAAATGCCCTTCCTTCATAATTCCTGAATTAATTTCCAGGACTCTTGTAGAGATTGAGTCATAAATTACTGGAAAGTGAGAAATTTTCAGTTCGACATGAAGAGTAAGGCTCTCTAGATGATATAAAGCAATCTTCTTTAGCTCTTCTGACTCTGAATACTCATCTATCTTCCTTTTGACAACTGTATGGACAATATCAGGAATCATATCGTATCATTTATTGAAATTTTGGGTAAAAATAACCATCAAATTCTGGTTCTGATAAGTCATGAGGGCCATATCAATATCCAAAAACACAGTAAGCAACTTCTTGTTCAAATCTTGTAGCTCTAGAGTCCCAATAAGTTGGTCATGTAAGGAATCTCCTCTTGTGTCCAGCACGAAATCTTGGAGGTAGCCTTTGGTATCAAAGGTGTTAAAATTCAGCATAATTTGTTACTAAATCCAACCTTTTCTTACATAAAAGGGGTTTTGGGGTTTTGGGGTTTTGGGGTTTTGGGGTTTTGGGGTTTTGGGG